GTTTTCTCTTTTTTCTTTTTCTTTTTCTTTTTTCTTTTTTTTTACTTTTCTTTCATATGAATTATGAATTTGTGTGTATTTCTTATTATCTTTTTTCTCTCTCTCTCTGTATTTCTTATTCTCTCTCTCTCTCTCTCTCTCTCTCTCTCTCTCTCTCTCTCTCTCTCTCTCTCTCTCTCTCTCTCTCTCTCTCTCTCTCTCTCTCTCTCTCTTTCTCTCTCTCTCAGTCTCTACTTCCCTCCCTCCCCCCCCCCCTCTCTCTCTCTCTCTCTCTTTCTCTCTCTTTCTCTCTCTCTCTCTCTGTCTGTCTGTCTGTCTCTCTCTCTGTCTGTCTGTCTGTCTGTCTGTCTGTCTGTCTGTCTGTCTGTCTCTCTCTCTCTCTCTCTCTCTCTCTCTCTCTCTCTCTCTCTCTCTCTCTCCCTCTCTCTCTCTCTCTCCCTCTCTCTCTCTCTCTCTCTCTCTCTCTCTCTCTCTCTCTCTCTCCCTCTCTCTCTCTCTCTCCCTCCCTCTCTCTCTCTCTCTCTCTCTCTCTCTCTCTCTCTCTCTCTCTCTCTCTCTCTCTCTCTCTCTCTCTCTCTCTCTCTCTCTCTCTCTTCCTCTCTTTCTTTAATCTATCTTTCTCTCTGGTTGGTTGAGGAAAAGATTGGTTAAATGCGCTCGCGTTCACTCGCAAGCTCTGACGCGTTTGGCGAAGAGGCACACATTGAGCAGAAGAGGATGTTCATTATTCTTAACAGTCTTAATAAAGTCAGAGCCCCAACTTGTCGATGATGTTCAAGTCGCGTATTAAGGCTAGGAAACAGAAACAGAAGCTTTAGATGAGTCTGAGAAGCTGACATCCAAATAATACTCAAAGGCAAAATAAAGGAGAAAAAAATGTTTAAATCTATCTCGTAGTAAATGGATCTATATTGCCTCGATAATCCAGCTTTCTGAGAAATAAGAGAGGAGGTTGCACCGATACGATCCTCAAAAGAATATAATTTAGAATCGAATATTATACCAAGCAATTTTAATGTCTTTACTGAGCTGTTGACTTGGCCTGGCCGTCAGTGATATCAGGATGTGGTAGACTGCGGGTTCGTGAACGCCTAAAAATTATACTGTTGGTTTTAGCAGGATTTAATTTAATTCGCCAACGCATGCGCCTAGAAGAGATCAGCTCAAAATCAACATTCAATATATATATTCTTTCTTAGATCCCGGAGTCCCTCTCCGCTGCCGCCCGTCTGCCAAAGGCCCAGGCACTGCAGGGCGTCCACCAGGGCCTCTCTCAGGGTCTCCCCCAGGGTAGCAGCGGGCGCCAAGTGCAGCCCGCGGGCAGCCAGGTGGGCGGCCAGGTGGGCAGCCAGGTGGGCACGCAGGGGAGCTTCCAGACGGCGCAGACGATTCAGAGCCTCAACTTCGGCAGGATCCCGACCTCGTGCGCGCTCTGCTCCCGCGAGAGGAACTTGTGCAGAATCATCTCGGGTGAGTTGCGGCGGGGGGTTGGGGGGTTGGGAGAAGGGAAGGGATGTGCAGGTAGGCGGATCCATGGATACATAGATAGGTTAATAGATGGGTAGATGATGGATAGATAGATAGACAGATAAATAGATAAATAGATAGATGTAGGGAGACAGATAGGTGGATAAATAAATAAGCAAGATAAGTAGACAGATGTGTATTTATGTATGTATATATTTGTACTGTATGCATATAATAATTCTCCCTGGATGTATAAACTATTTAATTTCATTTGAAATTACACATGGATGATAATAACGCAGAATCTATTAGGCGTTGATTTCTGAGTACATTTTCAACAGATTATTAAGAAATGTATGTACAATAATTACAAACATTAATGTGAGTTTGTGCATTAAAAGGTTCCAAATGGTTCAGACATTCATGAATATACCAATACCCAAATATCAGTTGTACAGCGAGCAAAGCTATGATCAGTATTACTCATCAATAATATTTTCTTCCTCTTCATACATTGTTCTTCCTGTTATACCATTCTTCTTTTTTATCCTCCCCTTTTATCTTCTCTCGTCTCAGGAATCTTCACCCGGCCCCGCCTTCCCTACGGCTACTCCCTCGTCACCCCCATTCCCGCGGGCGTGTGCAACGTTACCATCACGGAGATGAAGCCGTCAAAGAACTTCTTTGGTAAGAAAACATCACGACTGAAGTTGTGGTTAGGTTTTATTTTACGTTTTGAGAATTGTGGAAAATACATGTGCACAGTCTAAATTAGAAATAAGCGCAGATTTGTCTTTGTGGGGACTTACAGAGATTCCTTCCTATGGCGCACCTAAGGGGAGGTGCAGCACATAGAAATTTTCTTTCAATAGGCAATTTTTTTTTCCCTGTTCGGGAAAATGTATGTTTTTTTATATAAAAATATCCATATAACTATGTGTATATTTGTCATCATGTGTATGTATATCATTAGTAGTCTTAACGTGCTGAATCTCTGTGTATATGTAATTTACACAGAAGCATTACACATTTGATAATCTTGACCCATACGTACACCACAAGCACAGCAAACAACGGCAAACACAATCATAGAGTCATGAATAACTGCGACCAAATGCTTCCTGCCCCAACCAGCCCTTCGACGCACCGACGGCACCTACGTCCTCAACGGCAACTGGGACATCCAGGCGGCGGGGCAGTACCAGGCCGGCGGGACAGTCTTCACCTACACGCCGTCAGACGATGACAGCGGGGAACAGCTCGCCGCGCCAGGACCTCTTCGGGAGTCGATTGAACTGATGGTAAGTGGTAACAGGTGGTGTGTAAAGATTTAAGAGAGATACAGTCAAGAAAGCGCGGATATTATAAGTTAACTTAGTTTACCCTGATATATTTCGTTTTCTTTTTACTAAACTATTCAAAGAAAGTGTATATAGGGAAGACGTATCTATTTTTTATTGATTTGAAATTTTTAAAAAGGGGGAGGGGGTAATTTCAGGTATCTTTCCCTGTTGTAATTTATTTGTTTAAGAAAATAAACATTAAGGGTAACGACTGCTAACTATTGCTCCTCTCGCAACGCAGCTGATCTCCCAGAGTCCCAACCCGGGCATCAAGTACGAGTACCGCGTCCCTCTCTCGGAGTACCTGGGCGGCGGCACGGGCGGCCTCACTCCATCATCGGGCGGCCTCGTGCCCAACATGGGCGGGAAAGTCGGGCCGGCGACGTCCGGGCTCGGCCCCACGCAAGGCAGGGGCCTGGGCCTCGGGGGCGGGAATGTTCCTCCGGGGCAAGTGACGCCGTTCCAGGGGGCCCCGAACGTCGGCGGCACGGGCGGCATCAGGACTCCTGCGGGCGGCGGGGCAGTCAAGCCCAACCTGGTTTCGCGCGTGCCGGGGCTTCTGCCGTACGGCCCCGCCAACCCCAACATCGCCAACGGAGGCATCCTGCCCCTCACGCCCGTGATCGCCCCGATCAACCCTGGGGGCGCCCATGGCACCTTCACTCCCTCCGGGGTCGTGCCCTTCAAGCCCCTCAGCCCCCAGGGAGGGGTGGGTAGGGCGGGGGCGGGGACGCCGCCCAGAAACCCCGCCTACGTGGGGAGCCAGCCACGGCTCCCGACCCTGGATTCCAGCGGGGGCGCCGCACCCAGGGGCACCATCCCAGGGATCGCGGGCGTCCCGTCACGAGGGCAACCCTTAACCCCCATAGGGACCCCCAACCAAGGGTCTGGGAGCCTCCCCCTCCCCTGGAATCCCTCATACACTTCCCAGGATGGCGGCCGCGGACTTCCCTTGGGGACGCCCTTCCAGTTCCCAGGGAGCACCGGAGGCTCTGGCGTGGCCCCCGGCTCAGGCTTCCCCGGCCAGAGGCTGCCTGTCTCTCCGCGGGCCGACGGGGGCGGCCTCGAGACCCCCGGCTTCCCGCCGGAGTTCCCCCAGAACAGCGTCCCCCTCCGCCCCGTGGCCGTCGCGCGCCCCGGCTCCCCAGGGGCGCGGAGGCCACCCACCGTGGACGGTGACGCCTCGTCCGCCGCCTCGAATACGCACAGGACACGACATCAACACGGCACCAAGGGTAATGATAAGGGAGAGGGAGAAAGAGGAGACCCCTTCTGGAAGACAGAGGGAGAGCGAGAGAGAGAGAGAGAGAGAGAGAGAGAGAGAGAGAGAGAGAGAGAGAGAGAGAGAGAGAGAGAGAGAGAGAGAGAGAGAGAGAGAGAGAGAGAGTGCCGAAATACGTCAGATCTAGTCTTACCACCATTACGGCAAATTATTCGAGTTTCCGGCGTTAACCAGCATCAGTAGTTAACGTTAGCCTTTGTATCCTGGTGTATAACTTGTACATAAATGTAACAGTTCCGTAGAATGTGAGCGAACTGCAAATACTTATAATCCGAAGCCTGGGCTCTACCTTCGCACGCGCATCCTTGCCGTAATGGTGGTAACCTTGGTCCAGCCACATCTTAAGCCCACCTAACAACCTGTATTGCTTTGCCAGGCCGGAGGAAATCACCGGGGAAGGCGCCGGGCCGCCCGCAGACGCCCTTCGGCCCGGGCGTGCAGCTGACGCAGCCCAACGTGCTTCCGTCCTCGCCGTCCGAGCCCCAGGCCGCGAATGTGACGGTAGGTGGTTCGCCAAGACGCATCCCCGCTGAAGAGGGCCAGTCTGGGGAAGGGAAATTCCATTTGTGTCTATACATACAGTAGATTCAGGGATACGTACGTACACGCGTGTATCTATATCTGTTATCTGTCTTTTTTAGATACATGCATACTTGGATATATCTACATAGATAGACAAACATATACATACAGATAATCGACATAGATGAATATAGATGAATAAATAAATAAATCGACACAGATGCGTAGACAAATGTTTATCGACATACCTATCTATATTTGTTTTCTTAATCGCATCCGCACCTCATCACCAGACAACATCCAGGCGGCGCAGCAAGAGCGAGCGGCGGCGGCAGAAGAGCGAGGGCGCGAGCGGCGAGAGCAGGCGGCAGAAGGGGCGGAAGAGGTCTCGCTTCCAGTGGGCGGAGAAGGGGTTCACGCCCTGCTCCAGGGAGTGCGGGGGAGGTGAGCGAAGCCTTGGCGTGGGCGCTTGGAGGCCGATGCTCATTCCTTACTCGTTACACTTGTCTGGTTGAAAATTATTTTGCCTTTTTCAAGTTGTCGCTGTTTTTTCATACTTTTCCAGATATTTATGTGTATTCCTTTAGAGTTGTTGTTTTTCTTTTATACATTTTTGACTTTTCATGGCTTTTCAAGATCGTCTTATATGACATTATTTTTTTCTTACATTCCTATACTTGTGACTAATTTCCCAAACACAACCAAACAATCATGTCATTTGGATTATTAAAAAAAAAAATTGAAGTCTTCCTTCCTCTTTGGAATATTTTTGAATATTTTTTTCCATTTATACAAATACCATTTTTTTTAAATCTTCACACATATTATTACCATTTAACACTTTCTCCATCTTTCCACTGCCTTAACAAACCTACCTCATCACAGGGAACCAGACAACCATCCTGTCGTGCGAGAGGAGGAGGAAGAACAGCGTAGTTGCGGACCGGCACTGCGCCCACCTCCCGCGCCCGGAGACTCACACCATCATGTGCAACCTCAAGCCATGCCCGGCCACGTTAGTAGAGAGGGAGGGGGGGAGGGGAAGGGAGGGAAGGGAGGGAAGGGAGGGAAGGGAGGGAAGGGAGGGAAGGGAGGGAAGGGAGGGAAGGGAGGGAAGGGAGGGAGGGAGGGAAGGGAGGGAGGGAGGGAGGGAGGGAGGGAGGGAGGGAGGGAAGGAGGGAAGGAGGGAGGAGGGAGGGAGGGAGGGAGAGAGAGAGAGAGAGAGAGAGAGAGAGAGAGAGAGAGAGAGAGAGAGAGAGAGAGAGAGAGAGAGAGAGAGAGAGAGAGAGAGAGAAGGAGGGAGGGAGACAGAGAGAGGGAGACAGAGAGAAAGAGACAGAGAGAGGGAGACAGAGAGAAAGCGAGCGAGCGAGCGAGAGAGAGAGAGAGAGAGAGAGAGAGAGAGAGAGAGAGAGAGAGAGAGAGAGAGAGAGAGAGAGAGAGAGAGAGAGAGAGAGAGAGAGAGAGAGAACATTGTACGCCATGTCACCCATTTCTCTCTCTCTCTCTATAAATATCTTTTCTCTCCGTCTATCTCCCCCAGCCTCTCACCCGCGCCTTCTTCTTCTTCTTGCCTGCAGGTGGATGCCCGGCGAGTGGGGTCCCTGCAGCGTCTCCTGCGGGATCGGCGTGCAGACTCGACCCCTTCTGTGCAAGCAACAGGTGTCCCCGAACTTCATCATGATGGTTCCCGAGGGGGCGTGTCTTACCCCGCCCACCGTGTCCACTTCGCAGGTAGAGTTTCGTCCAGTCTGCGTGGGCGTGTGTGAGGGGACCTTGAGCGTGATTTGCGTAAATGCTTCGTGAAATTTTATATCATCTAAATTTCAAGTTAGAGGACTTAATATCATTATAAAATAGTTCCTATAGTGTTCCATCCCCATGAAAAAAAAAATCCCTTTTCACCCATTTTGAACACCGATGAGTCCCCCACGGTCTGGCACCCGAACCCCAAATCCCGACAGGTATGCGAGATGGGGAGGTGCCCCAGTGCCAGCCCGGAGTGGGAAGCCAGTGCCTGGTCCAACTGCTCGGCGCCCTGTGGCCTGGGCAAGCGCTTCCGGCAAGTGAAGTGCGTTGCCTCGGGCGTGCAGGTCCAGGACGGCGAGTGCGAGGGCGGGAGCAGACCCCAGGCGGAGGAAGTGTGCGACATGGGCTCCTGCGCGACCAGCACCTGGTTCTTCTCGGAGTGGGCGCAGCAGGTGAGGATGGTGGGGGTGGGGGTAGGGGGGAGCAAAAGATGCAAGTGTGAAAGGGAAAAAAACGAGAATAGGGGGGGATAATAGGAAGAAGCAATGTTCATAGTTTGACAAAAAGAAATTTTAAAAAAAGCAGCGGAAGATTACTGGTGTAGTTTTTTTTATAATTTATTTGAGTTTTAGAAATGAATGTTATTGTTAATTACTTTGCCATTACATTTAGATGTATTCTTACAAAGGGGATACGCTTAACATTGTAGTAAGTCGTTAATAAATTAATGTCTATAAGCAATGATCTGGATTTTATTTGTCAAATTTATCATGAAATGAATATATGGTTTTCATTTGACAAAAAACAAAACAAGAACAGAACAGGAGCAAAACGACTGTAACCGAATCTTTTGTTCCTTGCCGCCCGCCCTTAGTGCTCGGAGCGGTGCGGCACGGGCGTCCAGACGAGGCGCGTCCACTGCCTGAGCGCCACGGAGTCCTCGCGAGGAACCTGCCCGGCGGAGGCGCGACCCGCCGCCACCAGGCCCTGCAGGGGGGAGAGCGGCTGCGGCGGACAGTGGTTCACGGGTGAGAGGGTCCTGGGAGAAGGGACGGAGGAGGAGGTGGAGGTGGAGGTGGAGGGGGGAGGGAGAGAGGGCTGAGAAGGAGGAAGGGAATTTTTGTGGTGACTATGTCA